TGCCTTAAAATTAAAATGCACATACCTTAAATATTGGAATTACACATAAAGAAAAATAACAGTACTACACTGCAAGTACTTGATAAAACAAACAAGCAATAACAAAACTGCACCAAAATACCAAAGCTATCATATTAGAACACATTGGAACTGAAGTGTATTTTATTTACTGACGTATATACTGTATGTTGGCCTAAGTTTTATCTTCAGTTCAGGAAAAGAAGAGATGGTTTTCAGAAACAAAAGAAGTACCTGAAGAAAAACAGGATTTGAAGTTAAGAATCCAAGAAAGGTCAGAGAGGCAGGTCTGGAGAAAACTGAGGTTTACCTTAGAAGAAAAGAAAGTCTTAACAAGAGTTGTGTACAGAAAGGCAACATGCAAGTTTTATATCAGAAGAAGAGAGAATTCAGCTCTGAAAGAACCACGAACATGTAAAAACCACGGTAATGTTCAGAGAACAAAATAGATGGTTAAGTCTCAGAAAATACTGAAAAGAGCTGAAGATTTGGATTTCTTAGTTTTTCTGATTAGTGCTCAGGAAAGGATCAGGAAACTTGCAGCTCAAACTCATGGTTTACTTGCACTCACAGTTGATGGACACAAATTATGCTCACCTGAGAATTTTTGGTTCTGCTACTTAAAGAGCTCAATAATGGAAAAAGCACATACAGTTTTTTTACAACAAACAGAAGCTTGATTTTGTGACTGTTGTCCTCAGTACACTATATTTCTCAGTCTTTTTAACTGAAGGATCACTTAATCTCTGGGGAAAGAAAAGAAAAAAGCACACAGCCACCCCCCAGAAAACAATCTGAGAGATCATCTTGTGCTTATTGTGCCAAAGTAGTCACAGTGACTTTCTATTACAGACAAATACAAATGAAGACTCAAAAATTATCCAAATTTTTATTCTGGATGGCTTCCTGTTTAACGTTTCTTTCTGCTCCCCATTCTTCAGTGGTTAATAATGTGCAATTCAATGATGCAGCTTTTCCTTTTTTTCTGTAGCCCTTCCAAAAGACATCTTCAGAAGGTTTCTACTATAATCTGCCATCTATTTTCTCCAAGTTTGTAGGAATATAACAGTCTTTGAAGATAATTTGAAGTTGGCTACTGAATTAAAGTTATTATGAAGGTGTAGAGGAATTTGGTCAGTGAATACACATGCACTCAACATTGATCTTGCTTCTATAGAGAGAGACACTGACATTATTTTCCACAGTCTGAATTTATTTTTCCAAAATTCATTATCTGTTTACTGGGGATAAAAGAAACAAACACAAATTCTAGCTACTGAAATATGAATATAACAAAACAAACAATTCCTGTCCCCTTACTTAAATGCCTTCTTATACCTCATGCCTTCTGGACAGTACTATTTTCTTCCTTCCTACAGCTCCACGCTTCTGTTGTGTGTTCCACACGTACTTCCATAAACTATAGGTAGAGTCCCTCATTCGCCATTACCTGACTTATCAGACATTTAAACAGCACCCAACTTGCTAATTAACTGCTCCCAACCTCATCCAATCTGAGCCTTGCTTCTAAGCTAGAAGTGCAGACACGCTTCAGAACAGCAGTTCTGCATGATACAAGGACATCAATCAGAGGATCAAAATTTTTCTGCTACAATTTTAAGAGAAGTGAATTCATATTAGTAAATTTCACACTATAACCAGTGTGAAAATAACACTTGATAAAAAGATACTATATGCTTTGTCTGCATCTCAAACACGTTCACGTAAAATTTGTTTTTCTAAGTTTAGAGTAGACTTCACTGTAACAGATTTTAAAAAAATCAAATGGGTAGATTCCTTACAGTGAGAAGAGATGTACTGATTTGTAAACAATTTATTTTCACAAAGTCTTATGTTCTACGATGCAAAAAGATAGCCCAGCTTTTGTGAAAACACTTTCACAAGTTGTTTTCACTGATTTTTGGGATTTGGCACACAAAACTCTATGCTTACATGAAAAAAGTAAGAAACGTGTTGTTAGTTCCCCAGTGCTTCAAGGACGAATAACATGAAAAAAAGAAAACATCATGGTACTGAAATGTACTCTCAAAAGATCAGAAGATGCTTGTACATAGGGGAACCTACACTTTATGGAACTGTAGATGAAAATAAATGTTTTTTACCTCACTGAGTCCTTCATTCATCCTCAAAAGTACAGCTTTTGGATTAACTTCTTTTGGTCAGACACAGGAAGAAGATACTCATTTTTCTAAAATTGTAGGTAAAGAAACTAATATTGTCTAAGAGCAGAGCCAAACAGTTTTATTGATTTTTATGAACTGGAATCAGGTCTTTGCAATTTGTCATTTTTTAATTTCTTCACAAAGCTGCTTAAAAAACTGAATCATTTTTACGCAATCAATCATCAAATTCTTGCTAGGCATCAGGGATCACAGACTAGATAGAGTGTTATTGTGTCAGATACCGTGTACAAAACAGTAGAACCTGTATTTCATACCTCAAATATGAAGCAGTATATGCATACCTGAGAGATGGGAGGAGATATGAAAGAGTAGATAATTGGAAGGTACTCTACCCAATACCCCTAACTATTCTAAAACTGGAAACTTTAAAAATATGCAGTAAGAATGATTAACATAGGATTCTATTTCCAGTATAATGTCTAAAAATATATACTACCACTGGAAGAAAACCCTGTCCCTTATTTGCCATATAAATAAGATATTTTCATATCTTTAAGATACATTTTACATAAATATTTATATAAATACACTACTTTTGGATAATAACATGCAGTCTTTCAGATTGTAACAACCATGGAATCAGAAAGAGAAATATGAGGAGACTCTGACAGTGTGCCAACAGTGCAGACATTCAGTTGTTACAGGGAGTGTTTATTGTTCTGGAACAGGAGCCAATATTGTGCATTCAAAAGCCATTGGTTATGTCTGAATACTATTGGGAAGAAGGACCAAAACCTAAAACTTTCCAGCTGTTCCAGCTCTAAGTTCTCTAGCTGTAGTCTTGCACTACTCAGCCTTTGTGAAGCTGCAAAAAGAATGCACAAGAGCAGGTCTTGTGGTTGGTTTGGGTTTCTGAATCTGAGGAGGGCACAAAACACTGATTCCCTAGGTGCCAAGTTCTCTACACACAACGATGTTGTAAACCTGGCGATCCCTGCTGCTGCATCTCCCTCTGCTTCTGTCCTTATACTTCATGTTGATTTCAGACATTTGTGCATTGGGTATATCTCAAACATTTCTGTCTGATCCAGCCCACCACAGATTTCAGCTGATACACTAACGACTGTCTGGATCCCAAGCTTCTTAAGTTCACTGAAGAGACAAGAGAACTCCAAGCAGTGGACACTCATCTTTTATAACCTAGATTTTGGAAAAAAAAAATCCAAAATCCACGTCTATTAAATATACCAATTGTTAAACCATGTCAGAAAATATCTAAAAACATTTAAGAATAAAATCAGTGTATGTTGGAGTCTATTTTGTAGATATCAATTATGAATCTGACTTTTCCATAACTCTCCAGAGTTTGCAAGGAAAACAAAATGCAGAAATACACCCAAGGAGATACAGTAATAATATTTTCAATGGACTCATAAATGACTATCAAGAATACTGTGTACAAATGACTTCTATATTGTATTTTAAATAAATCTTCATGCAGACTTATTTGTAAAGGTCAAACTTTGGTTGATTTATGTTTTGATAAAGCTTATGTATTCCAACCCCTACAGAGCAGAGCTTTAAGGCATAAAAGCAATTGAAGCAGCATTCATTCTTCCTTCAGCACTGTATAATAGAAACTATAATAGAAACTATAATCTTTACCGGCCGCAGAACAGTAGAAAAAAAATAAGGTCATTATATGCAAAATGAAGAAAGCTATGCTTATACTTTTTGTGATTCTTAACAAGCATAGCTCTTAAGTATAATTTAAATGTTTTCAGTGACTTTTCCATGTATGGATTACGAACATTATGCATATACTTTTATTACCTATTAACCCTAAAACTGGAAAAATTCACAAAGTTGAAGAATCTTGAGGTTTTATAAGACATTTAAAACCAAAATTGTAACATTAATGAATTTGTAACGTTTTGCTTTTGTAAGGGCATCAAATGCCTTTTAAAGAGAGAATAATTCTTGGAATGTCACTGTTACGCAGGGTGAGACAAATGTATGACAAAGCTTCTTTTTAAACAATGAGGAAGCAAGCCATAGAAGACCACAGCTTGTGTACAGAGTATTGTCTCAAGCCACTACACACTTTTCATATTTCATAAAGCAAGATGAAAGTGCTATGTATTTTTATACATGTAGACTATTTTGAAATAATAATGCTCATACTTTTAATGAAATGTCAGCATCAGGTTATTAACATGACCAACAAGCAAAGCCTAGGGAGAGGAGAATCGCAGAAGCGGAGAAATTAATAGCATATGTACACAGAGAGATACAAATGGTGCTGTCTCCTCCATCTCTCCTGTGCTGCTGAGAATGCAATGCTGCACCAATGAAAAGCTCCTTGGTATATATTTTTTTACCCATTAAAATTATTGCTACCTAAGTGTACTGGCATTTTTACTCTAGGTTTCAATTAGACTGCTCCACATCAGATAAAACAAAAAATAAATAAGTGGGAAAGATAGCAGACTCTGAAGGATTATAAATGTAGTTTGTTTGAGAAAGTTAGTACCTAATTTGGGGCCCAGAACAGATGCAAGACTGTAGTTTTCCTTGAGTGTAATCTTTAGTTCATGAACATAAAATGTAAAAAAGTATTTATTGAATTCTGTACATCTGAAAACTTCAAAATTTTGCTCATGATGAACCTTGACAGCCTGCAGATCGAACTTCTAGTTTGTGGGAATGGAATGTTGCTTCTGCTTTAGCTATTAAAAAAGGCAATTGGTTTGAAGAAGTAGAATATAATGTATTTGCATTCTGTAACTTATCCTTAGAAATAGTTGATCTAAAAAAGTAGAAATACTGTATATGTAAGCAGCACATTTTAGAAACACAATTGCTGAATTATGTGATTAATTCTTTCTTGCAAAACTGCAATAGTTGTTAAATGTTCCAAACAATGTGGGTATAGAGTTAGGGATTAGAAAACATATTGTAGGTTGTTCTGCTAGGATAAGAAACTCCCAGCAAAAGAAAAACAGATTTAACAAACATCAAAGGACCTAGGGCCTCTACACAAGGCCGGGCTGTCTCACTCTCTGGAAAGGTTGGGATGTGACAGGCAGGCATCAAGATACTCCCCTCTGTCCTCCTTCCAAGCTTATCTCTATGCAACGGAGGACAAGCAGATATCCAGAAACAATGACCAAGGGTCAGAAGCTAATTAATTAATTGGAGGTTTACGCTTAGCCAGCGAAGATTTATGTTTGTCCAGTGTTTGTATGTCTAGTGAAGCGTCGAGAAGATTGTGAACCTAAAGTACTCAGCCAATGAGGAACTAGGGGAGAAAAAGATAAGCAGTGGGCAACAGGACATAAAAAGATGTAACATTGTTTTCTGGGTGCTCTCCTGCTTGCAGGAGGCCCGCCATTGCAGTTGCGAATAAAATCTGCTTTATCAGAGATACCGTCCTGAAAAATTATTTGGATATTTCCAACAATTTGGGTGCTCGTCCGGGATAATTATCGCCTCTCGGGGGTCTCCCCCGCTGCCTTGGACAGGATAGGTGCATCGTGCTGATTTTAGTGCTCCTTTCTGGGTGGTGAGGTGACTCCTTGGGACAGCTGATAGGAAATCGAGACTGTTACATAAAGGACGGGCTCTGTGAAAGCCAACGGGCAGGTAGGCACAGGTGTTGGCCTTTGCTACCCAGTAACTTCTTGCACGGACCAAGGTAAGTGAATTTAATTCTTGCCCTGGGGGTCGGTTGAGACTCTGAGTGTGTGTGACTGAGATGCACTTTAGTGCGAAGCGAGTGTGGAGTTCCGCTTTGCGGTTCTGTTGTCCTGCAAGGGGCATGGCCAGAGATGGATGAAGCAACCGTGGTGGTGATGAAAGGAAGAGTCTCGGGAGGGAGCTGTTGGTGTACGGTACCCTGCACACTTGACGAAGTGCCAGCAGTACACCCCTATTAATCCGAGAGATTGGGGTGTAATACAATGGAGGGATTGGGGTGTGGTAATGTGAGCTGGGTAGTTCATGTTAGCATTCCAGAGGGATGGGTAATAGGAGCTCCCAAGAACAGGGGAAAAGGGTGCCCAAAATTGTGCATAGAGATAGTCCCTTGAGAAATAAGCTTCAGAACTGGAAAAATAATCCCAAAGCCAGGGACAAGAACAGGAAAAAGATGTTTAAATATCGTGTACAGACACAGCTTAGAGAGCCACTACATGGAAAAACATTTTGACGAAAATGTGGGTCTGTGGGTTTTGTCAGACTTTGAATTTGTACGTAAACAGTAAGACTCCTTTCTCTGAAAACAGAATTGGCTTATGCTGCTTAATGGGTGCAAAAAGTAAAACAGTTCCTCACAAAAGAGTTGAAGTTTGTAGGAGAAAGGAGAGAAGCAGAAAGATCATAAATGGGATCCCTTAGATAACTTCCCCCCCTTAAAGTTCTAAAGCAATGCAAGCGGCAGCAGTCATTGCAGAGGCAGGGAGTGGCTGTGCTGCTGATCCTGTGCAGGGTCCTAGAGAGAGTGCATATTCTTAATTAGTGAGGGAATTGGAATGGTTCAGATGGGACCTGGAGAACTTTCCTTTCTCTAATACTAACCTTACTAAAACTTCAATATATCCTCCTAGGGGAGTCCCCTTAGGTCTAGGGGAAATAGGGTATGCTAATGCCTCCCCCTTTTTACTAGCAGAAATGTTAGGAATTTCAAGAAGGAAATGAATCCCTTAATTCAGGATCCTATAAGAGCAGCAGAACAATTAGATGAATTTATAGAGCTTGATTTCTAGTCATGGATGGAAATGATATTTATCCTGAATGTGTTGCTTACTATAGAAGAAAGAGGCGTGATTAGGTGGGCAGCTGTGCAAGAGTGGGAAATACAGAACAAAAGTTGGGCCCTGTGGGGGCTCGGAGAGTATATAGAAACAGGAATGGTTATGAAAAAAAAAATTGGTCCTGTACTAGAGCAGGACCTGGAAGGGCTCAAGGAGAGTTCCGCTCCCTGCAGATCAAAAGCAGTGTGCAAACTGCAGGGAAATGAGACATTAGCAGAGAAGCTGTACCAAGCTGAGCAGAAGGGAACTGTCTCTGATTGCAAAAGTTGAATGGGAATCTGGGAAGTTCACCCTAGCAGATTCACTGGTTAAATTGCAGCTAGGGGAGCAAGATAAAGAGGTTTATTTTCTGGTGGATACGGGTGCCTTTTACCACCTGCAGATGATTTTGCAACAGTACTAGGAGCTACTGTCCAAAAAGAGAAAGCCTACCTTTTGGGATCAATTAAATGGGCTGAGAAAACAAGTGGGAATACATAAATCCTTGTACATGCCAGTTTCTCCAAAACTGTTACTCTGGCAAGACTTATTAGAACAAATGAATCAGACAATAACGGAACACCTGACTGAGTCAGTCCTAGAGACTCGACTCCCCTGGACCAACTGCTTGCCTCTGGTACTTTTTCAAATCTGGGCAGCACCAAGAAAAGATGTGGGGGTTTCTCCATATGAAATGTTGTTTGGGTTACCATTTTTAGGAAAGGATAATGAGACACTGCAGTTTGAAACTAAAGATCAAAAACTATATACTCAGATTGTCTTCCTCATTATTGTCCCTCAGGATCCAAGGGCTGTTAGCACAAACACTGCCTCTGGAATTTCCGATTCATCCATTCCAGGCTGGGGACTGGGTCCTGATCCAGACCAGGAAAGAGACAAAGCTGCAGTCGATTGGGAAGGGCCATTCCAAGTACTTCTAACAACTGAAACAGCTGCCAGGACTGCTGAGAAGTTTGGACTCACTACACTCGGGTAAAATCCTCCACTAACCCTGAAGTGTGGGAAGCTGTTGCCGTGGAAGATCCTCTAAAGATGAAAATCAGAAAGAAACTGTAAAAGTTATCATAAGCTAATCTGTAATTTTTCCTCAATAGTATTAGTGGGGAGTTGTTTAGTCTGTATAGAATTAAGGTACTCAAAGGGAATTTCTTTTTTGTGTGTGTGTTCTGTAGCAGGGTATATCCTATTCTTCATTATAGTAACGATTTAGAGATTTAGGATTTGACAATGATGATGGGGAGGGACAAATTAGTAGTTTTGGTCCTGGTAATAATCCACTTCAAGGAATGTCTTAGTCAACTGATTGCTTGGAAAAAGGATGACCTACAGAGAGGATCAGGAGGGTACCCTGTTAAGATTTGGGTGAATGTGACAAGAAAAGAAATGCCTCAGACTGTCACATTTGATGCCTGTCATTTGATAGCCTGTGGAAGCCTAAGTACTCAACGACAATTGAGTAATGAAAATAAATACCTATGTCCTGAACTAGGTATGAATAGGGGATCCCCTTGTAACGGGTGGAATAATGTATGGTGGACAACTAACTACCGAGGCTGGACATACACACCTGGGATATTTGATGCCTCGTGGGCACGTACATTGAAAGATCGAATTAGTATGTTTAAAGGGGTTGCCCAACCAGACTGCCAAGCCTTACAATGTAATCCAGTGGCAATAACGATTAACAAGGCTGACAGTCTTGTTAACATCACTTTTGGCCTTGGAATAGACATTCGTGGAAAAGATCCAGTAGCCAGATTCAGGATAGCTGTATGGGATTCATTCCCTGATCCTATTCAGAATGTCCAAGATAGGGAAAAGAGAATAGAAAATCTCCTTAAAAACCCTGAGGTTGTAACAGTTGCAGAAATAAAGGATCTCAGACAAACGTTTGAAACTGAGACAGGGCATGGGGATGTGAATACCTGGGTAGAATGGATTAAGTATACTGTCCAGAGTCTCAACCATAGCAATTGCTACGCTTGTGCACCAGGACGGCCTGTAGCCCAGGTGGTACCCTTTCCACTGGGGTGGACCAAGGATCCCCAGGGGATGCGATGCATGGTTGCCCTGTACCAGGAGAGAACCGCCTGGGGAAACAAAGCCTGTAAATCACTCTCCTTACTGTTCCCTCCAATGCCTGAGGTGGATGCCAAAGTCCCTCCTGCATTCTCCACAGCCATAGGTAACCATACAGCTTGCCTCTCAAGGCAGGGTGTAAGGGCTACCAGGCTTATAGGGAATTTCTCCCTATGCAGTGAGACTTTGAATGTTACAGAAGATTCAGCAGGGAACTATTCGAGATTGGGAATCTCTAGAGCAGATCTCTGGTGGTATTGTGGCGGGAAAATCTTACGGTCCACTCTCCCATCCAATTGGGGAGGTACCTGTGCGCTTGTTCAACTAGCTATATCATTCACTCTGGCATTCGAAAGACAGATGTCACACACACCCAGAAGGAATAAAAGGGGCTTAGGGGTGTCATTTGATGATGCAATATACATAGATTCAATTGCAGTGCCTAGAGATATCCCTAATGAATTTAAGGTGAGAAACCAAATTGCTGCAGGGTTCAAGTCACTGTTCTGGTGGGTGACAGCTAACAAAAACATAGATTGGATTAACTACATCTATTACAATCAACAGAGATTTATAATCTACACAAAGCAGACAAAAAAGGGAATTGTGGAACAATTGGATGCTACAAGTAGGATGGCCTGGGAAAACAGGATTGCTCTAGATATGATACTAGCTGAAAAAGGGGGTGTATGTGTAATGCTGGGCACCCAATGTTGCACCTTCATCTCCAGTAACACAGCCCTGAATGGTACAATACCTAAAGCACTGCAAGGGCTTACCACTCTTGCTGATGAATTGGCAAAAAATTCAGGAATAGATTCTTCTATCACTGGATGGTTGGAGTCCTGGTTTGGCAAATGGAAGGGGATGATTGTGCCCATATTTACTTCTTTGATTGTAGTAGCAGGAGTCCTGACGGCCATAGGTTGCTGTATTATCCCCTTTGTGAAGAGACTAGTACAATGATTAATCGAGACAGCACTACTGAAGCAAACAAGAACAGAGCCACCGCTATACTAGGATAAAATGATGGTATTAGAAGAAATGGAGAATGAAGAAAGTGAGGAAGAAGATATCTTTAAAGTTGTACCCTAGAAAAGAATTGCAGAAATCAACATTGTATAAAAAAAAAGGGGGCAGGGGGGAGGGAATGTATTTGCATTCTGTAACTTATCCTTAGAAATAGTTGATCTAAAAAAGTAGAAATACTGTATATGTATTTTAGAAACACAGTTGCTGAATTATGTGATTAATTCTTTCTTGCAAAACTGCAATAGTTGTTAAATGTTCCAAACAATGTGGGTATAGAGTTAGGGATTAGAAAACATATTGTAGGGTTGTTCTGCTAGGATAAGAAACTCCCAGCAAAAGAAAAACAGATTTAACAAACATCAAAGGACCTAGGGCCTCTACACAAGGCCGGGCTGTCTCACTCTCTGGGAAGGTTGGGATGTGACAGGCAGGCGTCAAGATACTCCCCTCTGTCCTCCTTCCAAACTTATCTCTATGCAATGGAGGACAAGCAGATATCCAGAAACAATGACCAAGGGTGAAGTATGGGTCAGAAGCCAATTAATTAATTGGAGATTTGCGCTTAGCCAGCGAAGATTTATGTTTGTCCAGTGTTTGTATGTCTAGTGAAGCGTCGAGAAGATTGTGAACCTAAAGTACTCAGCCAATGAGGAACTGGGGGAGAAAAAGATAAGCAGTGGGCAACAGGACATAAAAAGATGTAACACTGTTTTCTGGGTGCTCTCCTGCTTGCAGGAGGCCCGCCATTGCAATTGCGAATAAAATCTGCTTTAACAGAGATACCATCTAGATAAATTATTTGGATATTTCCAACATGCTACAACTGCAATGTGCAAAAACTCAAACTATTTCAGTTTCCAAAGAGTTGTATCAGTGAAAAGAAGATCACAGAATCATAGATTATCCTGAATTGAAAGGGACCCACTAAGATCATTGAGACCAAAGCCTCTGAGAGCTCTGTCCACACACTCTTGAACTCTGGCAGCTTAGAGCCATGACCACTGCCCTTGGGTGCCTGCTGTAGGGTCCCAACACTCTGGTGCAGAACCTGCCCCACATCCCCACCCACCCATCCCCTATCGCTGACACACAGAGCAGAGCTCAGCACATCCCCTCTGCTCCCTGTGAGGAGTTGCAGTTGTCATCAGGCCTCCCCTCAGCTCCTCTGCACTGCACTGAGCACACACAGGGACCTCAGTTGCTCCTCATACACCTTGCCCTCAGATCCTTTCCCATCTCCACAGCCCTCCTTTGGCTGCCCTCTAATAGCTCTGATATTGTGGCGCCCAGACCTGTACCCAGCGCTTGAGATGAGGCTGCACCAGGCAGAGCGGAGTGGGACAACCCCTTTGAAAAGCCCAGTCTAAGATACTTCTTAAACTTCAACTTTACGGAACATCATTTTTCCCAAACTTTCTGCTTCTCCCATAAAAGAATGCATAAAGAATGAATAGTTTGGAAAGTAGCACTTCTATCTGCTTGCTTCCCTTTTGTTTCCTGAAGGAATCCACACACCCAAATCAGGCTGTTGGCACTCATGTTGTTTCTCAGAAACAACAAAACTGCTGGCAGTCACTTCAGGGTCTCACGCTGCAAGCTTTTGTTCTATGCAATTAACAGCGGCGCTGGGCGTTGTGACAGATCCTCAGAGGCCTTGTTTACACCCCAAAGCCCACGTTATCACCACGTTAGCAGCATGCTATACGCTATATGGTGTGAAGAAGCTATGCTGACCCCCAGCCTCATGCACGGAGGCAGCGCAGGCCCCTGTGGGCAGCCTCACACCCAGCCCGGCGCAGAGCCCGAGGCGTCGTGCGGGAAGGGGAGCTCGCACTGCCCTGATGCTCCTGTCAGCTGCCTTCCCCCTCCGAGCTTGCTCCCGAGGTGGGACGTGAAGGGAAGAAGCCCAGCCGGGCAGGTCCCGGAAGCAGCAGCCGCCCCCGCTTTATCTCTCGCAGAGCTGCTGGGTGCGCCGGCCCCGCACCTCCCGGAGCCCTCTCGGGGCAGGCGATTTAACCGCAGCCGCCCTTATCCGGCCCGCGCACGCTGCGCACGGACACCACCTCCGTTCCGGAGCGCGGCCCCTCCTCCCCGCGCGGAGCGGCTGATTCAGCGCACCCGGCTCTCTCCCCGCCGCAGCGCCCGACTTGGTTCAGCCCGGGGCAGGCGCTCGCAATAAGCCCTGTCCCCTTGGAAGAGCCTCGCTTCAGCCTCTCCTTTCTCCCTCCCACCGCCGCTGCGCACTGCTCGGCTCTGGCTGGGCCCGGGCGGCGGAGGAGGCTCCACGAGTTCCTGCTCCCGGGCCCGGGGCGCGCACACGGGGCTGTCCGGCCGGCGGGTGCGCGCAGGGGGTGCCGCGCGCGATCCTCCGATGCCGCGGTGAGATGGCATCATCCTGCGCGGCGGAGCGCGGCGCGGAGGGGTGAGCAGCCGGCGGGAGAGAAAGGAGAAGGAGAAAAAGGTGCGTGGAGGAGGCGGCGGCAGCAGCTGGGAGGCTGCGAGCCACGGTACGGAACAAAACAGTGCCGCAGCCGATCTGCCGTGCGATCTGGGCCGGTCTGAGGAGGAGGACGGCCGCAGCTTTCCTGTTTCCCCGCGTCCGCAGCGGGGGCCGGGGGCTGCCCTGTCACGGCGCGGCGGGAGGAGGGCGATGGGCGTGGGGGTAAAATGGCGAAGGGCGCCGCGCCGAGGGCTCGCTCCGGCTTTCCGCCGTTAACCCGTCGTAGCCCCGCGCCCCGCTGCAGGGCGGCGGAGGGGCATGGCGGCTCCCGCTTTCCCCTCGGCGTTGGCAGCGTCTGTGTGAGAGCCCCCGGCACGGCCTGTCCGCGGAGGGAGCGGGATGCCGCTGTCAGCCGAGCACCGCGTTCCTTCCGTCCGAGGGCTGAGCGCCGCCGCTGTCAGCGCCCGGCTGGGATGGAAGAGAGGAGGGGGAGAGGCGGTGTGACGGCCGGGTTCACCTTCGTGAGGTGGGAGTGAGGAGGGGGGCGAGGAGCAGGAGGAGCAGTGCCCCTCACGGCGAGCCGCTGTCACCTTCCTGCGTGCGCGCCGAGAGAGGTCACCGCTCGGCTGTGGCTGTGAGCGCGGCTGGGGCCTCCGCGTGTGCGTTCAGCTGAGCGGGTTGTGTGGGCGTCAGGCCTCAGAGGACCTGTTTGTGCCACTTATCTTTCTTTGTGTTGTGGCAAGAGATGTTACAACTTGGTCTCGCTGTTAGTTTACCTGGGTTCTGATTTTTTTTTTAGTTGTTTGTTTGTTTTTAGGAGGGGTGGTAGAAGTCTTATATTTGGAACAGGACCAGTTGTCAGTTCTCAGCCAAGTTAAAGCAGGGTGATCTACCTCTGCTTCCAGATCTGCGTGTTGTTTAAACTGTACATCAGAGAGAAAAGGACCGAATGCCATCTGATTTTAAGGGGAACTCCAGTGTTTGCATGAAACAAATAGTGCTTTTCGTATTTCAGCTGTATCTTCACATGAGACCTGTGTCATATTGAAAATTCTGCCCAGGTTGTGCAAGTTTACTGTCTAGTAAGCCAATTTTATTACTGTCACTAACCCCAGATGGCTGGGTTATTTATAAACGTATGCTTGAAAGACAATACTGCCGTGGTAGTTCTGTGTCTCCCCTTAATTTAGTTTAATCCTTTTTTTTTTTTTTTTTTTTAAGTGATTAGTGATTGACTATTATAATTCTTCATTAACTTGGGCTGCTTTTTTTATGTGTATGCCTGCTGCATTTGGTCTGCTATGCCATGTTGGTAGAGGTTTAAACCGAATAATTATTTTAATATGAGTAAAAGTTAAGAAATTTCGGTAGAAAATATCTGAGTTTTCCTCCATTTGAGAAACATTTAGCAGTTGTAAAAGCATAGCTTATTTGAAAACTTGAGGTGCTTTCAGGTGAGGCAACTGGAAACATTTCCAGCTGATGATGCTTGTGAAACTGTTTAGAATCCTTTTATCACTTCTTTGATGTGTGTTTTAGTCTTAAGAGTAAAGATGTGATTCTGTAAATGCATGTAGCTCAAATAGCTTACCATTATCAGTAATATTTTTTTCAGTGATACTGTAGGATAATTCCCTTAAATACATAATAATACCTGAAAACATGAAAGCAATTTTATGTACCTGGGACACATTTAATCTGTCAGCATGGAACAGCTTGCTACTGAAAGGGTGTAAATTCATTTTGTTGGAAAGATGATTTACAGTTGTTGTTGAACATCAGTGAACAAAACATTGCGAGTTTATATGTTCTTGTTTAAGGATTGTCAATAAAGTTAGAATAATCACCTGTCTAAATGTGCTTCTTAAATCTTGGGAGTACTCACAGAGTTCAGAGCAATTTATTTGCCTAATTCATTTGAAGGAAGAGAAATGTTTGCTAGTTCTGTTGCTCGACCTTTTCCATTTCATGTGAAATTGAGAACTTTGGTAAGTTGAAATTGCTATACGTTTTCCTGTTTTTTATTTTATTTTTTCATCTGAGAAGAATGTACGTAGGGTACTGTTTATTCACTTAAACAAAACACTGTTAGCTTAAAACTAAAAGACTAAAAAAAATATGTGTGTCCATCCGCTAAAATGCAAAAGTTGAAGTGGCTTGGAGGGAGAATGAATTGAGTGATGGATAAATGCAGGCACCTGTGTGTGTATCATGCCTTCCTTCAAGTTGTGCTTAAGTGACTCTTGGAAGTTACTTTCAGTTAGGGTAAAAATATTTTCTTTGTTCATAAAAACTGAAGAGAAGGGATAAATATGTCGTTATCTTTTAAGCTAGGTTAGTACTCTGCTTACCTACTTCTGCACTGTTTAGCATTCACCTCAATTAAAAAGTATCTTCCGAGCTCTTAACAAATTGCTTAAGACTCTAAGTCAGTAGATAAGCTGCTCCAGTGTGCCTTCCGGAATAAAAGTTTGTAAATTGGGGGCAGGGTGGCAGTATTGTTCTGCGGTTTCTGTGGTAGTGTCAGATTAAGCAAATCATGTAGTTTTCGCTGTCATTATGAGTCTTGTAAACTAGAACTGCCAAACTTCCTTTGAATTCTGAGTTAAACTATGGCCAGTGACATTCTGTAATTGTTTTGGTCTGTGTACAAATATAAAGAACGAGGGCTGGTTATATCCAAGACTGTCTTTAAAAGTTTGTTTTCTTTGCATCTGTAGGCTTCTTTCTTTTTCTCTGTAGGTGTTAGTTCAGACTTAGGATAATCTGTTGATGTTCTCAGGTAACAACCTAAAAAAATCATAGGTGAGGACCGTTACATATTTCAGACATCTCACCTCTGTTTTCTCAAAGGGACATGGTTTGGCTGAAGGGGAAATCTCCTTTTCCCAATCATCAGCAATTGAAGTGGTCCAGGAGAAGCATTCTAAGCACTTTCAGAACAGCCCTTGTAGCATATAGAACAGATCTTTTGAGTGATGCACCCTCTTTTTTTCATACAGAGCAGCAGTATGTCATTAAGTTCTAATTACTGCTTTTTGATGTGTGATTTTACTGTTTTCGAGGACTTGATAGCTTAACCTGAGCATACCTGAGTTGAGCTCTGTCTTGCTTTCCTAATGCTGCTTACAGATCAATGCTACGCGCTCCAGGGAAGCTATGAACTGTCAGAATGGTTGAAGTGATGTCACAGTCATACACCTGGGAGTGTGTTGTGGTGGTTTTCTTTTGTTTCTTTTTTTCCTTCCTTTTAACATTTCAGGGGAGTCCTTGTATTATTTGTAGCTCTTGGTAGCTACTAGACAAGTGGAATGTGGTATGAAGTAATCTCTGATTGC